AACATTTATAAAAAGATCTTTGCAAACAAATGTTGCATGAAACAGTCGCCTTCATTAATCTTGAAAGGTTTTTCCAACAGTTATGGATCCAGCTGCAGTTATCGTTGCTAATGCGTTGAACTCTGGAAAATGACAGTGCAGATGCCTGTTATCGATGCTGACGTCACTGCTCCTGTATAGAGCAGAAATTTTTGATAGTTCTCCTCATGTGATTGCTTTGGTTTTATGTTTCTGATATTTGCTAGGTTACCCCTGAGTTATTATAAGAACATCATTGACACTGCACCCAACAAATAAAATGGAGGCCCTTTAAATTTTTTGTTCTACTGCAACTTCACTATCTTTATAAAAGGTTGTAAATTCTGATTCATTGAGCAGGAATTTCGGACCATGGAAGAGAATCGCAATTTGCAGTTTCAGCCCGGAACAAAAAGAAAACAGCACAGTGCTGGTATTATCGTTCGTGATTATTCGGTTTGTATCGTCAAACTTAAAAGTCTTATTGTAAGCCTTCAAAACACCTACCTTTGTCTTTTGGCTTACCGGTATATTTTGAAAAGTTTACACACGCATTTGGGTTTCAAATGCAGTTTACGGTTATAAGTGGGGTCCTTCTGACGGAGAAAATGCTTGAGCTTTTTAATTTACAATTTCTGACTTGCATAAAAGCTAACAGAGCCGAGAATAAGTTACGTTTGAGCTTTAAAGGATGTTCATATTAATATAAAGAAAAAGTGTCACAGCAGTAGTTTTTTTTTTTTTAAAAAAAACCCCACCTTAATTTAACTTCGTCAAGAAGCTAGAATTAAGTTACCCATAACTTTGTTTCTCCAACTTTATTTGCTTCAGGACGAAATATGGTCAGGCTTCTGGTTTTTTTTAAAATGGTTGCTGGAAAATGAAGATAAAATTGAAGATGAAAGACTTCACTTGTAAGGTTTTGAGCGATTCCAGTAAAAAAAGGTTGCTCATTCCTCGTGAAGATGGAGAACCCTGCTTCCTTTATGATGACAATTCTGCCACTAACAAGAAGGAGAAAGGCAGTTTTTATTAAGCATAAACGTCAATGATGGAGCTACCTTTGTTTTAGGATACATTCAGCACTGGTAGATTTTTTGTTATTTTTGTGTTTTGCCATACTTATTTCACTTGGAAAAAATCGGAGGTTTTAGTGGATCTGCGGGTGTTACCCAACACCAGCATGAGGAAGCAATATACGTGTTTACAATACATGTTATAACTGAAGGTGATGGGCAACTTAAGTTTCTATTATCAGGAACAAAATCTAGCGAATATTGCTAGTCTTATAAGAAAAAGTTTAACACAACCTCCGAACAAGCAAATATTTTCTGACATAGTTTCGCGTGTCCACTTCAGTCTTTTAGCTCTGTTCATATCCCTTTCCCATTCTGACTTTGTGTTAAGAGTACGGTTGCTAAGGGTAACACAGAAGTTTATAGGAAGCGGAAGTTTTCCTGAAAAATTCGAAAAAATTGGAAATTCCGAGTGCTCGCGCGGGTTGTAATGAGTTTCTTCTGACTAGAAGGGATAAATAGAACTAAATGTTACTCAAATACTATTATAGAATTAACTTGTTGCTAAAAAATGATTATTTTCTTCCGATTAAAACAAAGGAAAAAAATGCTTCACCGCCCTGTCGTAAAAGCCGAGATGATTTAGAAAAATCCGTTGTCAAAACCTTTACAAACTGCGTTAGTAAAATTTATGATTGTGGCTTGGTTAAACAATTCGACCTAGTTATAGACAGTGAAGTCTTGAGAGAAAAATTTTAACGCATCCTCTGAGTTTAGGAAAATTGGCGTCAGAAAATTGAGAACCCATTAAAATTGTCTTAAGCTCTAAATTCTGTACGAGGAAATAACTTGAAGCAGAATTTTTGAAATAACTGTCCGTAGTAGAACATTTTCCTTTATTCTGGGACAACAATTTTCTCGCGATAAACAACTTATTTTCTTACTTTTTTTTGGAAAAACCAAATTTTGTTTCTGTACAAAAACAGCTTTTTCCGAGTGTACAGTCTAAGTCCTAACCACTTGAGGGCAGTAATATTAATTGCGTCGTAATTGGTTCTTTATTAAGGTATCTGTCATAAATCAATGGTTTATGAACATGAAATAGTAAACGAGCAAACAAAAATGTGATGTAGTTATTTCTCCTAATAATAACTACTTATTACAGGTTATCTGGTAAAGTGATTTAAACGGTCTTGTCTGCGACAGACAGACTTATTAAGCGGATTTTTTGTTTCTGCTAGGGCTTGGCCGTTTCACACCATAGCTGACTGCAGTTTTTGAGTAGAAGCAGGGAATTGAGCGTAGTAATAATGGTTTGACACCTTATTCCTGAAGCACTGAAACATAGTAATGATAAAAAGCTTAAGCTGTTGTTTCACTTGTAGTCACCACGTTATGGTAGAGAAATGATACTGTTTATTTAACATTGCTCATACACTGCATATAATTTGGACACGAACTCAAAACAAACTATGACAAATGAGTATGTACTTTTGTAACATCGGAGGAGATATTGATGTAAATTTAGTTTTTTCAAGAAAAAAAACAACTATTTCAAAAATTATTTTCAGTTGAATAACAGATAGAAACAACTTGCTTGCTTAGCAGCAAGAAATTTTTGTGTTTGATGAGTCATTGAAACAGAATTCTGAGCTCGGTAACTAACTCAAGTTTTTATACGACCAAGTCACCAGCTTCTGCAGCCTCTTCGCTTTAGAAATGTCTTAGCTGTATACTGACTTCGTTAAATACAGAGGACGCAAGTGATCCACGCAAGTGATCCTTTCAAATGTGAAACTGTATGGACTGGGGCATGAAACACTATCAGCATATGCTTAATGAACACCGCTCTGGAGTAACTGGGCTGTTAAGCCACCGGCTAGTGTGTCTATAAGGGCCGAAATTACAAATCTTCTTACTCACAGAACCCTCCTAAAATTAACTCCCACAGCAGAACCTCAGCACATTTTTCTCCCTCCAATGAGTTCCAGATCTCTTCAAGACCCTAAAAAAGTTTGAAAAGATTCAAAGAGGTAAGAAACAGCGCTGAAGCTAGAGAATAAATGAATTAATACAGAATCAGTGTAATGGAATTACAAGAGATAAGCAAAATATGTCAAATTTGAAAGCAAATGAAAATTAAACAAACACGCAAAATAAAATCAAAAACGCTTTTTAGAAAACTAAGCAGAAAAACTGAGCTAAAAAAAGTAGCTCAGTTTTCTTGAGCCTGCTTAAATAAGTATAAACAGAAGTTTAGCATATGAAGACAATGCGGATTCGCTGAAAAAAAAAAACAGAATTGTGAAAACCTCAGAATTTTGCTTCTAAAAAGGAAGGCAAGGAGGGTTTGTAGATTCCACATTTGTCATCTCAAAAGTACAAATCATTTCATTTCTGACATCGATATCTGCCTAAACAGTTTCAGCCCAAATATTTTTTTCTAATTTATAGGTTTTTGCAGTTATATCTTTTTAGTAAATCTGTTCAGCTCCTACGTAAACAGTACCTAGGCAATTTTTGCCACCACATTTTTGTAGATACGTAAGGAACTGTGCTACTTTCATTTCCTTATTTTCTTTTTCTTTATTTGTCAACAACTCACAATTACTTCTACTTTGCTTAATTTATTTTATAAATAAAAGATATACTAATTAAAAAAATAAGGTGTAATTCTTTCGACGAGCTTAGACAGAAAAAAAGAGTTTAGGGCGCACTTTTACACGTCCATTACTTTTCTACGATTCCTAATCTGGAAAAATCTCGCAACGAAATCTCTTGCAATTTTTTTAGTTTTCTGCGGAGTGCCCCTGAGATGAGACTTTCAAGCTCACTTTATTGGAAATTAACAAAGTTCATAAATGCAGCTTAGAGATTTAAGTTTTACAATTGGAGAAGACAGTTCTGAACGTGGAAGCTGAACTGAGTTCTTTTGGCTGGAATCATCCTTCAAAAGTAAAAAGACGCTCACTTAAAAAAATAAAACTACCAAACTACCACCAGGTTTGGACATCAAACCCTCGGTCTTGATAGAGCTTGATAACTTTTCTACGTCTCAGAAGCATCGAGATAAGACGAAACCAAAATAAAATTATTTCCATTTCTTCTGAAAATATCATAAATCTTCTTCTAGTAAATAAGAAAGGTCTTATGCAACAAGAGTATATTGAGAAATCTATCGTCAAGGTGCAAACAACTTATTTTTCTCAAAATAACCATAAAAAACCGCTCATAATAACTTGCCAGCACTTGCTACTGCACCTAGCAAACGCCAAATTTATGAAGTTGGCCAACAACTCTCAAATTATTGGTTTTTAGAAAGAGATCTCAAAAAAGTAAAAACTGTTGTTAAACGGATTTATATAAGTTGAAGAAGTATCAGACAGCCGCTTTCAGCCTTCTGGTTAAATATGGTAAAAGCAAAAATCAGCCTGCAGTGCAGGTGGCTGATTTAGTGACATGTGAAGTTATCACTCAACTATTAAAGCAGTTATTGTAATTCAGCTAAGAAGATAGCGATTCATCGAGCCCTCATCTCCCTCCATGTCGTTTTAAAAATTAAAGATCATCTTCAGATTTCAAATCTTAATGAAATTTTTAATTTATCAGGTTTTCTAACTTCACTTTTTAAAAACTAAGTTTATCTGTGTCCTACTCCTGAAGCTTTAATTTCCCAATATTACTGTTTTCATGTAATTTTGTTTCATTTAGTAAGGTCCTTGTAGGATCGTTTGTTGTATTTTATAATGTATTGCAATTAAGAACACTGGATCTGCTGAAACGACTACCGCGTGAAATAAATAACCTAACTTCATCTTGAAAATAGTTATTTTTATTTGCTACATTTGGAAAGTAGCTGGACAGTGGTATTTCCAGTTTGGAGAGATAAAGGGTCGCAGTTAACCTTCAAATCCGGTCGTCAGAATTGAAGCCTTTAGACAGAGGCATAAAACATTTTTGGAAGGAAGGAAAATTAGAAACGAGCGCTTCATTGCTGAACGTCCTTTTTGTGTTTCAGTGATTGTTTGCGAAAAAAAAAAAA